TTGCTTGGCTGAATTTACGCGATGCTGCAGCAGCAGCATCGGGGATGTCGTCGTTCACGAACAAAGTGCGATTATTAATCGATAGCGGCGACAAATTTGTGCGCGCAGCTTCACTAGAATTCGGCGCGAGAGCGAGATGCGCGGACGTGCCTTTGATGGAGACCCGGGAAGGAGAGAGAGGGATGAGGGGGGAGATTTACATTCTCCTTTGACCCATATAACCCCTCGTTCGATTAATGCCACGGCTCTTAATTACGCCGTTTAATCGGCATAATTAATCGCACGGCGCGTTTACGCGGTGACAATGTCTCCCCTCTCCCTCCCCCCTTTGTTCCTCACCCCTGTTTGTTCGGACGCGATGTTAAACATGCCGTTTCCTCTCGCATGAATGATCGGTACTGCAAAAGTATCGACCAACGAGTACCAATTTACGGGCATGCGCTGGGCTTATCGGCGATTTTGCGATAGCGCGATGTAGACTAGTCATTGCAATTGACGTATAAACAAATTACTAAATTTTGGGAAAAATAATGCTTTGAATTTTGAGCAAATTTTGTTATTTTTGTTATATTCATTTTATTTCCGGTATCTTTTACAGTAATCTCGATTTCCTAATATAGTTGTGTCGTTTGGCTGATATTTCACTTTCACTTTTCGATAAAAGAGTATACATTTTAACATTTTTCTACATCGTAGATATGTAAATTTTAACATTTACATATCACTTTATACATGTAATGTTTAAATGCAAAATTTTACGTAATCTTTTGCCTGAAAATGCAGCGTAAAATACATCGCGCGCGATGTTTATCATTTTTGATATCACAATTGAATCTTATCAATATATAGATAATCGATTATAATATTATTGTTATAGCTGTACAGAGAAAACAAGCTCAAATATTCATGAATGGACGAAAAGATACACATTCTTACGAGAGAGAAGGGAGAGTCACGCATACAAGTTATTCTTATAGATAATAAATTATACATTGTCGGTCGTGCTTGAGTAGAATCAGAAAATGCGTCGAATCGAAGTTAACAACTCGCTTGTTGCAGAGAAAGTAATCGGGCGTATTATTCGATTAAGAGTAATTGCTTCCTAGCGATCAGAAGAGTCGGTAGAAAGTTAAGATGAGTGGAAGTGAGTCAGCACACTCTTTTAAAATTTAAAATGTAATTTACTCGTCAGTTTTGATAATAGGTTTTTTTGCATGATAATATATTCTTCCGAAAGTAAGATTTTTGGAAGTGATTGTCTAAACACATATTTTATCATAACTTTTTAAAGTGTATTTTTAATATTCTTATTAATAACTAACAATAAATTTATAATTAAATAACGTGTTTTAGAATGATTTTGCAGAAAATTCAAAATGTAAAAAAAAATAAAAATTAAAAATCTTGCATCGCGATTTTATTTAATATCAATATAATGTAGATATTTCCATGTCCACACATTATGTCAATTTTTATCAAAATACATAAGAATATTTAAATAGTACATATGATTACAGTATCAAAAGAGATAATATTATCATTAATATATTTATAATATTTTTCTTTTCCTTCAAATCTCATACATATTCCACCTCATTTACTTCATTGTACGAAAATTCAATAAATTTGATGACGGCGCATCGAGTGAATGCCACTCGATATATTGATGAATACATAAATTGATGAATACATAATTTCTAAATGGATCCCGAAAGCGTGCGACATGTGTAACCGCAAGGTGGGACCAGATTTTCTAGCGCCCGGCAACGTGTTGTTTCGCACGCGTGCACGTGTTGTTACGCTCGACGAACATCTCGCGAGGTGAATGCCAGCCCGTTCCTGCCGCGACGCTTTCGCTTTCGCTTTCTCCTTCGCGTGCCATCTCGCGGTAACATCTCAGGAGGCGATCTTCCTCCGCGGGAGAGAAAATTGATTGCGATTTATAGGAAAGCAATGATACACCTACGCTTTGAGCGTATCGGTAATTTAATAATAGATCGAAGTCTCTTGCACCGTATAACGATTATTACGAGTCGGATTCGCGAGTGACTGATGGATCGAAAATTACATAATACGTATAAATATAGTATGAATATGTATGTTGAAGTGTTCTGCGATATATTATTATTCAATGACGAATTATGCTTTTTTTTCCCTTAAACTAACATAATAAGTTAGTATCTGCATTTTTCGCATATATTTAAATTTTATTAATTTAAGAATTCTTTTATTTTTTAAATCTTTTTTCCTGGAATAATAGTCATAAAATGTTGTCATATGTTAAAATGAAAAGTTTCCGAAAAATTAATTTGTTAAATGTCAATTTTTATCGAGTGTCAATTTGCGATAAGAGATCGCGGACCGATTTCGCTGACCCGGAAACGATCTCGAGGTTCAATTCCGTCGCGACTCCTAATCAGCCGGAGATGAAAATTGGCGACGGGACATCGCGGATCGTCAGGTAGCATCGATTCGATTGTTCGGGCATTCGTCGAATGATTTAGCCACCAAGACCGCCCGAGGACGTTGCTGCCGAGCTTTTCCCTTCTCTCTCCTTTCCCTTTCTCTCTTTTTCTCTATTCGAATAAAAGTCTCGACGAGAGAGAAAGAGAGAGAGGGAGAGGGACCAGAGCTCGTAACGAAATTACTTGTTCTGAAACCCGGAGAAACCGGTTCTCAGAGTCGAGACTCTCGCTCGTTTGCCTCGCGTGGTTTGTGTGCGGTTTCCACTCTCACGGGCATGAACACACTCGCACGCACACACACATACACGTATAAACTACTGGAACATACCGAGGCATATCAGGATGCGAGGGATTAGAAGCGGGTAGGTACTTTCCGACTCCTCGAAGGCAGCGACCTTGCCTCGCGCGCGCCGCTTCAAGAAGGCTGTCTCCCTCTCGGATCTCTCTGTCGCCATAGATTGGAAAGCACGTTAAAAAAATTGCATAATCGAAGAAGTAGAGTGATCTAATATTTTTTCCTCAAAGGGATATCTGCATTTTTCTCTCAACAAACTCTAATTTGTACAGAAGAGATCAATTTTTTGCAATTTTTCTCTTCCGCATCACGTGAATAAATTTTTTATAAAATTCTCAACTTTACATCTAGGTGTAAAGATAATTACAGTTGGCATATCACGCAGATGCTAAAAAAATTAGTTTGATTAATCAAACATCTCGTCAACTATCTGTACGTATCTATCTCTACCTCTGCAGTAATATTACGATTATTTGTGCGACTAATTGATTAAATTACGCCACACGCAATTGCATGCTACGTCGCGTGTGTACGAAACAGCTATTTACTTTCCGAAAGCACGTTGCCTCGCAGATGCAACGAACATCTATCGCGACAGCAAGAAGCATTTCAGACTGCGACTGGTCCTTTGTTCAGGCTGCGGGATACGCATTACGATTCATTATAATGAAGATAGTCTGCGAGGTAGACTACCTTGAGGATAATGAGCCGATTATATACGGACCGTACGCGTAGCGAGACTGTCTTGATTATAATGAATTCGTCGGGACGAAGACGGGGAAAACGAAGGAGCGAGCGAACGAACGAAGGAACGAACGTTTCGCATCCTTTCCGGATGCTGTTAAACGCTGCTAGTCGATATAGCAGCTGATGCATAAGCAGTAAGTGGAATCTGAGAATAAGAAGACGAAGGGGAATGCCTGGAACGAGTACAATTACATGACTTACCGTTACACGTTCCTACGAAAAAACGATCTTATGGAAATTACCGTTTAACTTTTTCAATCTCGGGGAGAAAAAAAAAGATCGCGATAATTCTCCCCTTTCATCGCATCATCGCATCATCGAAAGTAAAAGATTGGAACGTATATTATTTTAATATAAATTGATTTATGAATGCTGTTTATGCTTTTTAATCTTTTTTCCTTTTTTTTATGATTGCTAGAAAATCAAAGAGGAGACATCTGAGAAAACGTTTTCAAATTGCAGAGGAAAATATCTTTTCTATAACGTGTGAAAGCTCTCTTTTTTTAAATGTTAATTTGATATACGTATCCGTTAACAAGTTAAAAGGCTCGTTCATCCTGTCATATTCGCCAACGCGACGAATTGTTCAATATCGAACGAGAAAGTATGAAAATGAAATGCACTCGCGAATTATTGTCGCTAAATGGATTCGGCTCACGTTCTCGCGAAATGCAGTCTTTGTGTTGAATTCTTTTTTGCGTCGCTGGCTGACGCGCATCCTCACTTTATGAATATTCAGTGTTGATTACGGTGATGTCGTGCCATTGTTATTTACCGGAACGTAAATCGTTGGTTGCTGTTCGCGATCTTTCTCATTCTTTCTTTCTATACCTTGCGATAATGTATATCGAATAAAAATCGAGAGTTGTTTTCATCCACTTAAAATCATATCGATTAATATAATTGTTCAATAAAAATTGAGAATAATCTTTAATCATCAGGAAATGATACTCGGGTGTTATTCATAATAATGACGAGATTAATTGTAATTAAAATGAAAAAAAATATAACGAATCTAATACATAATTATTGGCGCGAACGCGATTACCATTATTCAGGTACGACCCATGTGAGAAGGCGATCGTTCGCGTGTCTTTAAACCGGGATTAACCTTTCGCGAAGTTTTGATGGATCACCTGGCATTACAAATTGCCGCTTAATCCATCAACCAAGTTCAGCAGTTGCGGCAATTATTTTAATGTTCGCATGCGCCTCGACGCTCGCGTTCGTTCATGCGCTTGAACTACGTTCGAAATTGCATGCGCGTGTACGCACGTAGACGTGTACGAGACTCGTAACACACGTGTGATACTAGCATCTGATTCACCGAGGAGTAAAACGATGATGGACTTGGAATTTCACAGAATTACAGCAAGTTGAGCTTTGATTTCGATTAAAACTTTTTGACGTATTTCTGAAAAATGAAAACGTGTTTCTAAAAAAAGATTTATTGAGTTACATGTTTCTGATAAATTTCTTTTTTTTACTTTCAGACTTTAAATTCATCTCTCTGTGGGCCTCGCATGAATGATACAGCTTGCATAACGATCGTCGAACACATGGCGTTGCGATGAACAAGTGAGTACGCTCGAGTCATTTAAATTCAAATTGTAGAATTTTGCAAACTTTTATTTCGTTGTTGGAGAATTTACAATGTCCGCGAAACTCTGCGACGTTTTATTTCGCATCTCGTATACCGGCGATTAATCTCATGCGCTCGCGATCGATCGCCCCGTGAATTCCGAAGCGTCGGACGACGATTAATAAGTCTCCAATCAGGCCTTTGCTACGAACGGGGAGCGTTCCCTTTTTTTTCCTTACAGCGACAACCGTTTCTACAGTTACAATTACGATCGCGATCGTATAAATCACGCTTCGGAGAACCTTCTCGCGGAGCCTCCGTGCCACTCTTGTCTGCCGGAGGGCGCTCTCTCTCCCTCTCCTTCTTTCAATCGTGTCGTGGTACGACATATAAACATTATACGAGCGAGTGCGATACTCCATTGCCGTTGTATATATGTACGATCATGCGACATAGTTACCCGCATGGTTATAACCGGGCATTATCATTGCCGGTGCATGTAATTGCCTCTCTACGGTTGTACGCACGATCCACTACGAGGCCGCGGCGACTCTTATCTACGTGTCTACGCAGGCCATCTAAAGCAATCTTGCAACGAAATAAAAAACATACAATTACGTGTTAAACGCTAGAAGCACTTGCGTATGCTAATTACATCAAACGATCGATCGTTAGCAATTGTAATGAAATACAGTTCGAGAAATTGTGGAATATCGTTCAAGACCGTGTGTATCTTATCGGCATCATAAACAGAGAGAAGTGAGATGACACGACGGTGGTGGCAAAAGAGAGGCCTTTGTTAAGTCGAGCGTCGCGTTATCATCATCGTTGCGACGACGAGTTACGATGTAACGATGCTTTAAAGCTCGCCTTTCCTCTCTCTCTCTTTTTCTTTCTCTCTCCCTTCCTCCCTTCATTGTGCCCTTTTCCTCTCACTTTTTCGCAGCGGGTCGTGCGTGCAACCACGTCGCGTCTCATGCGTGTGTCTGTGCGATGCATCCTCCTCCGGTCATTAGAAATAATACCGGAAGCCGCGACTCACACGCGGCTTTGTTTCTGTTTCGACGATTTTCGCCGCGTGTCAAGCATGTGTGAAAATTGAAAAGATTTTTTTCCGATTATTACTGAAATTATACTAGTTCCTGAAAAGGATCGAAGAGTGTACGTTCTTGTAAATATTTAGCACGAGTGAGATGCATCGTGCTCCGTACATACGAATGGCTCGTGCGTTGCAATTTTGCGAGTTATCTTTATCGCGAGGCATTCTGTCGAGTTTACTTTGCTTCCCTGGATTCTCTGGAAATCCGAGATTCCCTCAGGAACTCTAGTATCTCAAAAGGAGAAACGCTTGCGTAAAGCCCATTTATGTAAACGTTTTCTTCAGCGAGGGGAAAAAAAGAGACAGCGAGAGAGAGACATGATTTCGCTGCGAATCATTTCTCTCCATCGTTATCGGAAGTCTAAGCTTCCGTCGAGAACAGGCATCGTATACAGGCAGTCGTAAACGGCACACGATAGTTTTCGATGGGAAGAGTTAATCCATCACCGAATCGAAAATAGCGGAATCCGGCATCGGCGATATGTATCACGGGGACGGGGGGAAGAGGGGGGGCAGGGTGCACGGGATGGGGGGGAATGTGGAATTGAATACAGCGAAAGAGCGCGCGTCGGCCGACAGAAATTGAAACGTCGCGCGGAAATTGAACGGCTTGTACGAGAGGCAAACGAAACCTTTCCACGGCCGTGCACTTTGCGATTCGGTCGGGCCGGTCCCGGCGCGGAAATGGAAGCGTCCCTTGTAAACTGGAAATCTTATAAATCAGTCCGGGGCGTTTTTTCGCGACGAAGTCGCGCCCGAAAGGGTAAGATAATATAGAATTTCGCGATTGTCCCTTTCACAAGTCATTTTCCTTCATGCGTGTTTATTTGCTGTCACGAAAAGAGAGATTCGTGTTCTTCTCATGTATTGTACATAGAATGTCTCAAAATAGGTTTAGGTGTTCTTTTCATCGTGGATTTTTTCTAACGAGATATCTGAATTACGATTAAAATTAAAAGCTTTTAGTAGAATATAGTAAAGGCTTCTGGTAAACTAAGTTTCATGGGGCGAGGAGATGATGGTGAATATCGTATTTTTTCATTCAAGTTCAAATTAACTTTATTTTAATGGAATTTTAGTTTAATGTTTAGTTGTAAAATAATGACTTGATACAGCTAATAAAAAATGACATTCTAATTGGCCAAAGAAAATATAATAAAAATATGATAAGAATATTCATTGAAAGAGAAGGGGGAAATTAAAATATATATTTTTCGATCGATTTTTTTTTATTTTGTTCTATAACAATACAGCGAAGTAATAAAATCAACGAGCCATAAAATCGTTCGAAAACATTTTCTATCAATGTCAGCGATGTCGTAAAATTATTGAAAAATGAGAGCTATCAGTTATCAGTTTTTGAAAAATATTGCGTTTTGCTATCCCAATTGTCCAAAAGTAAAAGTTATGAATATACAAATTTTTTATCTGTATTATTTTAACTTTTTTGCATTTTCTATTGTTATTTTTTCCAAATATGAAGTTTTAAAAATATGATATCGTAATATTTGATTTTCTCTTTGATCTTCTCGCAAATTACCGAAGTGTAATTTTGAGAGAAATGATATTTTACATAAATATAAAATTAGAGAAATAAAGACAATTTAGCAACGCAAAAAAAGAATAAAAAGTCAATTTCGTTGAAATTAAATTGTATATATATCTTTCTGAAATATTTATATTTCCATAAATATCTATAAATGGATCGTTTAAAGTTTCTATTCGTGTTAACGAAGTAACAAAAGCTTCTTTTAAATTGCTATTTTCATATATTGGATTCAGCAAAATAGACATGGATAATGTATTCCATTTCATCTAATATCTGAATATATATATATATATATATATATTTATATATATTCAGAATATATATATATATATATATATATATATATTTATATATATTCAGAATATATATATATATATATATATTTATATATATTCAGAATATATATATATATATATATATATATATATATATATATATTTTGATGTATAACCAGATGGAATATATTTCTTTGTCCTCCTGTATTTTGCACCGTCGCGTCGTACGATCTAGCACATTTGGAAATCAAAGATCCGATTACGTGACGAGACGATTTGCCGGTAGCACACGCAAATCCGGTCGTATATCGGATACATTCACGCAAACGAATCTCGTGTCGCTTACTCCGTCGTTTCTTGCCCCATCCGCGCTTCGTGTGAATTTCGCCCGAGGGCGGCATCGCCTTACGATACATTACATTCAATCACCTAGATGCATGCAGACAGTTGCAGCATGCGGCACGTGCTACCGAGAAGCAGCAGGTGATACGTGTATTTATACGAGCACTTATCGCCATGAGATTACGTCTCTCTAATCTCTATCTGGTACACGTACATACTCAATCTCGCTCATGTTGCCTCTGGATACGTTCATGTATCTTCATCGCGAATCACGTGTAAGGAAATTTTCCGTGTGTCGCATTCGCCATTATGATGAATTTAACATTCGATAGTGCCTGACAAATTTTGATGAATTCTAGGAAAATCTGATTTGTATTGATAAATGAAAAAGAAAGAAATACGATTAATGTTAAATTTTAGAAAAATGCGTTATAAGCTATTTTTTTTTATTTCTAAAAATGTTTTATGTTATTGTTTCTTTTTAAAAAGACATAAAACTTTATTGTTGTAAAAAATTTCTGATCTTTTGTCTTTCTATAACATTCTTGGTTTAGATTATATCATATTTATCGCGGAAGGGGGATTAATTCATTTCTTTTCTTTTTGTTATGCAATTCCTTCAATAAAGTTAGCATCATTTTATGCGTCACACCAATCAGCATCGTAGCAATCGATTATCGGTGATCATTTAATGTGTCAGAACGGATCGACACATCCGCCATTGATTTTACGACGAGTGCTCGGATACCAATTAAGAGACAGCGCGTTTCCCGGAAAGCGCACGAACGCCTTATCCTTCTCGGGGTTCTCACAGTTTCTCTTCCTTTATTCTTTCCTGCAGATCCTGTAGCTCTCAGGTTAAACAGTTAGAGAAGAACTCGTTTGAATATAATGCTGGTTGTTATCACGCGTGCATAAAGAGTTAATTCATCGTCTCTTCGATTGTTGTCTCTTCTTCAGTAGCCTGCGTCACATTCGCAACAGCTCGATGAATCATTGTCTTAGATTATCTCTGTTGATTGATACCGACTTTTAAGAAAATGTGGCAATTTTGTGCATTGCAGCTTTCGATTTTTAGAATTTTTTCTCAATTTTTCCTCAAAATTTGAACTGCATTTAAAAAATATAATTATATACAATTTTAGTTTTAAAAAATGTTTAGAAAATTATTAGAGAAAGAGAATGATTAGGAAGAGAATTTTTAAAAATTTCGACAACTATAATTTCGATTTCCGCAATGAATAACTTAAATATTTATCGCAACATGATCATTCCTCGCCGTAAGTGCTCGACTTTTGCAGAATCGTGAGTTGGCTTAGGACTTTGAAAATAACCATCGCGAGAGTTTTCGATCTCTGTAATACACTATATCTCTCATTATCGTGCACATACCCGCCGCTTGATCGTTTTTCCCCGTTTCGTCGACCAATCTTCGTCCCGCCTTCCGTTCGTGACAGATCTGCAACAGTTTGCCACTTACGGCACCTTCCGCTCCCTCGGCTATAACCTTCTCTCATTAACGTCCGTTACTTCGCACTCGATTCCGCACCCGGAACTATCTCATGCTCGCCTTTCTCTCCCATTATTTCGCGAAACGAGGATGTACCAGGATGCCGAAACCTAGTAATCTTTTTTTATCGTAAAACAGTATTTGTAAATGAAATATAAGAGAGCAAAAACAACATTTCTCAGATATAACATTTAAAAGATTCATTATTTGTTTTAATTTTT